TATTATTCTTGCAATTGGCCAAAAGTGTCCCTCCGGCTTAATAGAGGTACAAATATTTATAGATGACTTTATTATCATCTCCGGCAAAGTTTTGCTAAACTTTTCTTGATCCCACTTAAGTGAGATTATTACTGTCCCATCCCCCACCACAAAAAAAACCCTTTTGGGGAAATTCTCTCTAGCTGCCTATGTAGGTATGTGTGTGCCCATTTGGAAACTTCCTTGACATTCCAAAAGGGCTTTTTCATAATTTATGGGTTCTTTAAATACAAAATACCATAAATTCTTGAATAATTTTCATACTTAGAAGCCAAAGCGTTCTTGAGCTCCTAACTTATGTTCGCTCCGCCCTCTGTCGCCCTCTTTAGTTGAAATCCTTCTTCCAATTGCTTTATAATTGGTCTATTCATATTTACAGCAGCATTTCCTCTATTGTCAAAACATTTAATATGAATTTCAAAGTTTTCGAAATGTGAGGGAATGTGTGTGTATGTGTGCGTGTCACGTTGTGTGTGCGAGAGTGTATGTGTGTGTTTATTTGGGTCCTTCTAAAATATTGTCAACACCAAAAATTCAAAAAGTAAAATGACGACACAGCAAAAAGACCGACAACAGCAGCAGCATCACCATCAACCAGCATTACCAGGAAAATCTTTTACGCCAGCCAGTCAGCCAGCAACCAGCTGTACCAGTTTCTATTCCGACTTACCAACATACATACGTTGGTGTGTATGTATGTCTCTCAAAGTGCCAACTATATGCCTTCGAAAGAGCTTAATTTTGTTTAATATTGAAATTAAAATGGTTGCCTCACTGCACGTTTGCCACGACGGCCTGCCCCACTCCTGCATACCTCCCTGCCTACTTGACTGTGACAAAAAGTCACCTAAACCAGAAACGTTGACAGTTTTTTATTGCTGCTGCCGTTGAAATTATATTCACTTTCATTTGTCTTTTTTTGGGCCGCCTCAGTTGGCGGCGAACGAAACGGAAGACTTACAGTTCTTTGGGTTAGAGAGAACTCAATAAATTCTCCATTTCCATGTTCATATCCTTTTCAGACAGACAAACATAAAAACCGACCGACCGAAATACTGACAAACAGCAAGTCAGTGTTTAAACTGAAAATGCAAAAGGCTTCTTCACTTTCATGGCAAAGGTTTAGAATTACATAACGCCAAAGGATGTCAGCGGAGGCTTTCATTGAAAAGAACGACAACAACGACGATGTCGTCGTCGGTGACGGTGACGATGACACAAACATTGAAAATCAGGTTATTTTTGACATTTGTTTATTTGGATTTTGAATATGTGTGATGCCACATTTGGCATTTGGAGGACAAGGAACACTGTGGAGGGGGGTTTTTAGTGGCAGCAATTTGAATTTAATTAGAGACACTTAAGGAGGTGCAAAAATATATGCAGGATGTGTTTCAATGCATGTTTTTGGAAATATTTTTCAATCAAAGGCTAACTGCAATTAGAGGTTATGTCTCATGTAAAACGAAACTAGTTTAAGCCGTTTAGTAGTAGCCGTTTCAGTTGGAGAACATTGAAGCATTTGGATTTATCCTGTTTACTGGAAAAATAATTACAAGGTAGTTACCGAATAACTGAAATTTTGCCGAATCCAAAAAAAGATTGATGTGTGCCCGATCGAGGTATCAATACGTGTAAATTCTGAATATTTTTGACAGATAGATTTTTACAAGCCACGAACCCAAAATACAAAATTGTAGTCCGTTCATGTAAGGAAAGTGACTAGGACTTTCAAAATGCCAATAAGAGAATAAAATCCTTCTATAGGTGGCCTTTGCAAAACTTGGCGACTTAGAGATGTACTTCAAGGACGTTCAAGAAACCCAAAATATGAGCTTATGTTTAAAAAAAAAAACGTGAAAAAATCTGGCTTTCCAGCAATTTTATTAAAGTAGAGCTAACAAGTAAAAAAGCAGCTAAGTTTGGTCGGGCTTCCACCATTCGAAAAGAATTTGAAAAATTAAAAAAAAATAGTCGAAAAATTCTGCTCAAATAAAAAAATCTGTCATAGGCTGTAGTAACGATTCCGAACTTCGAATACGAAATTTGAAAAAAAAAAAAAACGGTGAATAATGTCGCAAATATCATCAAAATACCGAATAAAGGAAGGTACTGTTGTATAGGGGCTACACTAAGACACGAACCTGCACAGACAATTTTCCGTAGGTTGTAGTACCCATTACGAACTTCAAATACGAAATTTAACGCAATTCCGATTAATAATGTCACGAAAATCCTGGAAATACCAATATCTCAGGGTAGCGTTATATGGGAGCTAGACTAAAACGTAGGCTTATATAGAAAATTCTTTCAAGGCATAAGGTACTCCGAGAGAACTCCTTGTGTGGATTTTCAGATTATTCCAATGAAAAATGTGGCTAAAATCATCAAAGATCCGAATATCGGGGAGCTTCATTGTATGGGGACTATACGATATCGTGAACCTATATAGAAAATTCTCTTTCAAGAGGAAAAGTACTCAAAGAGAACTCCTTGTGTAGAATTTCAGACTATTCCATTAAAAAATGTGACTAAAATCATCAAAATACCGAATAACGGGAGGTACAGTTATGTGGGGGGAAATATAATATCGTGGACCTATGTAGACATTTCCTGTTCAGGGGGATAAGTACTCAGAAGGAACTCCTTCTGTGGATTTTCAGAATATTCCATTGAAAAATGTGGCTAAAATCATCAAAATACCCAATATATCGGATATCGTGGATTTATATAAGCAGTTCACTTTCAGGAGGTAAAGTACTCACAGAGGACTCCTTGTGTAGAATTTCAGACAGTTTCATTTGAAGATGTGGCTAAAATCAGCAAATACCGAATATCGGGAGGTAAAGTTATAGGAGGATATACGATTTCGTGGACCTACATAGACATATATTTTTCAGGGGGTAAAGTAGTCACGAAGATCTCCTTGTGTAGAGTTTCAGACAGTTACATCGAAAAATGTGCCTAAAATCATCAAAATACCAAATATAGAGAAGTTCCGTTGCTTTTCGATATCGTGCAAAATTTTAGCTCCTATCTCAACTCGTTTTGACTCTAGCGTGGTTATAACAGACGGATAGACAGACGGACGTGTGGACCGTCTTAGAATTTTACGCTGATCAAGAATATATACAGGGTGAGATAAAAAAATTGCAACAAAGTCAAACGCAATAATTTTTACATTTTTATTGAATGAAAGCAAAAAATGCCGGAAATAGCATCACATTTTAGAATAAGTTTAGATTTAATCGAATAGGTAACTTTTGACACGAATTATGGCCTTCGAAAGACCAATGAAACCATCACACGCTGCCCGAAACTTGCTCTGCGGTATTTTGGCCCATTCACGGCGAAGCACTTGCTTGAGGTGATCGACACTTTGGTATTTTTTAGTGCCAACCTTGCTTTCCAAAATACTCCAGACACAATAGTCCAACGAATTGGTATCCGGAGATGTTGGTGGCCATTGTGCGCTGGAAATGAAGCGAGAAGCCTCGTTTTGTAACCATTCTTGGGTGGCGCGTGCTGAGTGCGATGGTGCTGAGTCCTGTTGGAATGTCCAAGGTCTGCGGCCAAAATGTTTGCGTGCCCTAGGCGCTGAACCCCGGGAATGGTTACAAAATAAGGTGTCTCGCTTCATTTCCAGGGCACATGGCCACCAAAATCTCCGCATACCAATCAGTTGGACTATTGTGTCGGGAGGATTTTCGAAAGCAAGGTTGGCACTAAAAAATACCAAAGTGTCGATCACCTCAAGCGCTTGGAATGGGGCAAAATACCGCAGAGCAACATTCAAGCAGCGTGTGACGGTTCATTGGCCGTTTGAATGCCATAAATCGTACCAAAGGTGACCAATTCGAACAAATCTAAACTTATTCTAAAATTTGATGCTATTTCTGATATTTTTTGCTTTCATTCAATAAAATTTAAAAAATTGCAGTTTTTTATCTTATCGCATTTTTGAGACATTTCCTTAGGGACCAAAAAATAATTTTTTGAGGTGCTTGGGATATATAAACAATTTCTTTAAGGACCCAAAAATAGTGGATTTTAAGGAATTCTAGCGTTTAATTATTTACTAAAGAAGAACTTAAGTTATACCCAATCTTGTCGTAGCTAAAGCCTTCAAAAACTAAATATCGAGAGGAACGCCTATTTTCGGGATATACCAAATACCGGACATCTATTTTCACAATAATTGTTACTCGTATTATCAACATAATTTGGTTGGAAAATGAATTACCCTTTCTAAGCACATCTAGTACTTTCGGCTATGGATTTATAACAAAAAAATTAGATGATCATTTTAGACATGTGCTTCCTATCTCAAAAAGATATCTTTAAAGGACCACCTATTGAAAATATTGAATTATGAGAAATTTATTTTAAGGGCCAAAAATTATTTTTTTCCACATCCTGTGGATTTTTAGAAAATTTCTTTAAGGACCCCAAAAATAAATAAAAAACCAAAATAATTAATGTAATATCATTCAGAAAATAATACTGTTCAAAAATCTTAGCATTTTAAAAATATTTTCAAGGATCTCCCATCGTAAAGACTTCCAAAACAAAAATTTTGAATTTTAAGAACTTTTTTAAGTACCTCCCTACCGAAATTTGTGGACTGATGAGTAGATTCTTTCATGAACTTACTGATTATTTTATCAAATTTATAAGATTAAGAAAAGAATTCATGACCGCCTTTCAAAAATCGCAACTTTTTAAAAATATTTCTTTACAAAAAATTGTGTTTTTTAAAAAATATTGAGGACGTCTTGAATCGTAGATTTTTACAAATATTACAAGAACTTCCTACCGAAAATCATGAGTTTTTTAATCATCAAACGGAAGTTTTCTTTCCGTCTCATATTCGATACTATTTGTCTTCATCTATCTATCTATTTCTACTATATTATATTTCAATCTATTCGACTTAGCATAAAATCTCCTTTTTCTCTCAGGTCTTCACCATGCTGTTTCAATGGGCACCATCGATACAATAACCACAAATACCAAGCCAACTTGTTCCAGTCATTCTGATCGAAATTATGATTCTGAAGATGAAAATACGTATCGCCGTCGTCTGAGACATACCTCATCCACAGAATTGTATCCCAGGCCATCGCAGTATTCCAAGGGAGACATAAGAGAGCAGGTAAAAATCTATTTCCAATATTTGAACTTAAATCTAACTGAAATATATTTCCTTCAGTACTGCCTCACTGATCGCCAAGTTAATACCATCGATCGCTCACGGCGTGAACGCTTTTTTGGTTGCCTAAGTCGTCGTAGTACTCCGCAATCGTTTCTGGGCGGCTGTGTTGGTCGTCGCATACCCTCAGACGAGAATTTGGCACCCTACACACCGTTTTATAAATATTCACGTTATACGAAACAATTTCCTAATACTGCAACAACGTCGTCGTCTTCGAACACTGCTGACAACATGGATATGGAAAGTTCCTATTTTCGTAGACAACCAGCATCGATACTAAGTACTTCCAAAATGGTGGATGCATCCACGGATAATCGCCAGCACAGCAGTTGGATGGATCAGCAACAACAACAGCAACACCACCAATTTCAGCAGCACCACCTACAACAACAGCAGCAGCAGCAGCAGCAACAACAACAACATCAGCTGCAACAGCATCAGATGGCCCAGCATCCGGCATATGGGAATTATGATAATATCAGTTATATCAACGATAAAAGGTAGAAATTTTAAACATCCTCTAGATGGAGAGCAATAATTTCAGCTTTTAGGATTTTTTTAACAAAAAAATCGTGATTTTTAAGAATATCTCTCAAGGACAATCAGGCCATCAAATTAAAGAATATTTTTCAAGGACCATCAAGCCTATAAAAGTGGATTTTGTAAAAAATATTTTTGTAAGGACATGCAGACAACTAAACATGGACCAATAAACGTGAATTTTTAAGAACATTTTTTCAAGGACCTTCGGACCACCAAACGTGGATTTTTTAAAGAATATTTTCTCAATGACCTACCCCACAAAAAATGTGGATATTTTAAAGAATATTTTTTCAAGGACCTATCCCACAAAAAATGTGGATGTTTTGAAGAATGTTTTTTCAAGGACCTACCCCACAAAAAAGAAGATATTTTAAAGAATATTTTTTCAAGGACCATCCCAACAATAAACGTGGATTTTTAAAGAATATTTTTTCAAGGACCATCCCAACAATAAACGTGGAGTTTTAAAGAATATTTTTTCAAGGACCATCCCAACAATAAACGTGGAGTTTTAAAGAATTTAGGATCAAGGACCTCAAACCTCCTTCGATGGCTCTTGTCTTGCCTGAGAAATTAGCCTTAAAATTCTTTAAAAATCCAAGTTTATGGCTATCTGGAATATGGAAATTCCTTGAATTTTTTTTTAAGAAAATCCAAGTTTATGGCTTTGAATATCCTTGAAAAAATTCTTGAAAAAGTCCTTGAAAAAAATTCTTTAAAAATCCACGTTTCTGGCTTTGATAGTCCTTGAAAAAATTCTTGAAAAAGTCCTTGAAAAAAATTCTTTAAAAATCCACGTTTCTGGCTTTGATAGTCCTTGAAAAAAATTCTTTAAAAATCCACGTTTCTGGCTTTGATAGTCCTTGAAAAAAAATTCTTTAAAAATCCACGTTTCTGGCTTTGATAGTCCTTGAAAAAAATTCTTTAAAAATCCACGTTTCTGGCTTTGATAGTCCTTGAAAAAAATTCTTTAAAAATCCACGTTTCTGGCTTTGATAGTCCTTGAAAAAAACTCTTTAAAAATCCACGTTTCTGGCTTTGATAGTCCTTGAAAAAAAATTCTTTAAAAATCCACGTTTCTGGCTTTGATAGTCCTTGAAAAAATTCTTTAAAAAATTCACGTTTCTGGCTTTGATAGTCCTTGAAAAAAATTCTTAAAAAAATCCGTGTTTCTGGGTTTGATAGTCCTTGAAAAAAAAATTCTTTAAAAAATCCACGTTTGTTGCTTTAAAGGTCCTTGAAAAAAATTCTTTAAAAAATCTACGTTTCTGGCCTGGATAGTCCTTGAAAAAAATTCTTTAAAAAATCCACGTTTCTGGCTTTGATAGTCCTTGAAAAAAATTCTTTAAAAAATCCACGTTTCTGGCTTTGATAGTCCTTGAAAAAATTCTTTAAAAAATCCACGTTTCTGGCTTTGATAGTCCTTGAAAAAAATTCTTTAAAAAATCCACTTTTGTTGCTTTGAATGTCCTTAAAAAAAATTCTTTATAAAATCCACGTTTGTTGCTTTGAAGGTCCTTGAAAAAAAAAGCCTTTAAAAAATCCAAGTCCTTGAAAAAAACTCTTTAAAAAAATGCACTTTGTTGCTTTGACGGTCCTTGAAAAAAAAATCCTTTAAAAAATCCAAGTCCTTGAAAAAAACTCTTTAAAAAAATGCACTTTGTTGCTTTGACGGTCCTTGAAAAAAAAAAATCCTTTAAAAAATCCACGTTTCTGGCTTTGATAGTCCTTGAAAAAATTCTTTATAAAATCCACGTTTCTGGCTTTGATAGTCCTTGAAAAAATTCTTTAAAAAATCCACGTTTCTGGCTTTGATAGTCCTTGAAAAAATTCTTTAAAAAATCCAAGTTTCTGGCTTTGACAGTCCTTGAAAAAAAATTCTTTAAAAAATCCACGTTTCTGGCTTTGATAGTCCTTGAAAAAATTCTTTAAAAAATCCACGTTTCTGGCTTTGATAGTCCTTGAAAAAATTCTTTAAAAAATCCACGTTTCTGGCTTTGATAGTCCTTGAAAAAATTCTTTAAAAAATCCACGTTTCTGGCTTTGATAGTCCTTGAAAAAATTCTTTAAAAAATCCACGTTTCTGGCTTTGATAGTCCTTGAAAAAATTCTTTAAAAAATCCACGTTTCTGGCTTTGATAGTCCTTGAAAAAATTCTTTAAAAAATCCACGTTTCTAGCTTTGATGGTCCTTGAAAAAAATTCTTTAAAAATCCACGTTTCTAGCTTTGATGGTCCTTGAAAAAAATTCTTTAAAAAATTCTATGATGGTCCTTAAAAAAATTCTTTAAAATCCACGTTTCTAGCTTTGAAGGTCCTTGAAAAAAATTCTTTAAAAAATCCACGTTTCTGGCTTTGATAGTTCTTGAAAAAAATCCTTTAAAAATCCAAAAAAATTCTTTAAAAAATCTATGTTTGTTGCTTTAATAGTCCTCGAAATAAATTCTTTAAATCCTTGGAACAAATCCTTGAAAAAAAAATTCTGGATTTTTTTTAATATCTGCATTGTTGAGGACCGGAAACACCCCTTTATTGACTCGTTTGAGGGTTAAAATTTTCAATCCATATCTTTTATTGGTTTTTCCTAACTCTGATGTTATTTATCTCTTTCTTTATAGCTCATATCACTGCCCTTCCCATATGGGAGTTGGTGCTGGTCTGCAGCATCCTGGAGCCCTCAATACCCCCAGGTTTGGAGCGTCTATTTTGAATTCTTCGCAATTCTAAACTTGATCTTCTCTTTTCTCTTTCTCTCTTTCCACAGAACAAAACACGTTAGCTTTGCCCGTTCCCATACCCTCACCTCATTCGATGACTTCAATGTGGGCTTCCGGTCGTCGGGACGCATGAAATCGGCCCAGTCACAAGAACGCCTAATTGGTGGCAAAAAACCCTTGGGACCCAGTGGATCCTATTATGACACAATGCCTGTTTGTGCCGCCCCGCCACCGCCTATTACTGCCATAATGGGTTCGAACTCCACCATACATATGCTGCCAACGGCAACAGTTCCTGTCCACCAATTAGGTCACACACATCAACACTACCAGCCAGGTCATATGCAAGTGGCGGCGGCACCAACGCAGCCACCGCCCACAACATATTTGCCCGCCTATGTCACCGAACAACATGTCCAGACCCAGCAACCGACAGCGGTGCTAACAAATCGCCCAATCCTAGAAGACTTGTCCAGTATGAAAATGGCCTCAACGTGTCCACTGCAAAATCTGCCACCACCCAGTCCAGAGGTGATTGTGGTGGAGAAAAAGTTTCGCAATGCCATGAAGACGCAGGCCACTCAGACGGATGTTAGGAAAAATGAATTCGAACAAAGTTTGGCCTTGAGTCCAAGGACCATACATCGAGTCCGGGTGGTTTCGCAGGGAGCCCAAACGAATGGGCTGGCGAATGGAAAACCCCTGGCCAAGAGTCTCTCACAAATACCCTATGACAGTAAACGACATGAAGAGACCAGAGGCACCTCGCAGGCAGAACATGAACTGCTGCATCGCACCCAATCGGAGGAGCCACCCAAGTCCCCGCTGGAAAGTAGTTTCCCATACTACCAACCCCCACCTCCTCTCGAGTATGATACGAATCATGAGAAGTATATGTATCAAAAGAAAGATCTCAGCTCCATGTCAAAGGAGGACTCCTTTTCGTACGAAAGCAATAGTTTGCCTCGGCGAACCTGTGGCTATCGCCTGGACACCGATTTCCATAGCCTGCCCAGACGAGACATGCACAATGTCCAGGATGTGTGCAAACACATCACAGAATGTTCTGAGCTCATGGCAGATGGTTCCTCGGATTTCACCTCAGATCTACTACCACCACCCCAGGAATATTGTCTGGACGATGATGATTCGCTGGATATTACTCAGACCTATCCCAAGGAATACAAGGACTCAAGTCGGCGTAAATCCATGTTGGTTAGCATGGAACCACCCGATGATAGTCCCTTTCGCCGGGATGATATACGGCGTCAGTCCATGCCGGTCTATGTGAAAACGGAAAAACTTGTGGACCTGGATTATGTGGGCAAGGGATCGCGTCGCTTCAATCGCAAAGCTTTCCGTGACGATATGTCCGATGAAAAAGAAATTATCATCGATTTTAAACCCTACATCAAAAACGATCTGCAGTCCAAGACTTTGAAGAGGAAATTCCTCAAGAAACACGAGCAGCAGGAGGCCAAACTTGCGCCCAAGGAACTTCCTGAACCCTATGATTCCATATCAGCTGAGAGTGATCATAGCGATCAGGATCCACGACAAGATCCTGTTTATGAAAATTTACAGGCCTGCGGCTGTGTGGCCATTGCCGCGAATGTTCCGGAGGCTGAGTACAGCGAGCAGGAACATGAAGAGAAGGATGAAAAGGGTTCAGGAATTTCTGCACCGCCCAGTCCGCTGCGCGAGGAGGCCATTGGTCATGCTTCTACCTATCCGTCATCGGATTCATTGGCTAATGATGTCACAAGAGATCATTCGGATGGTCATTGGAATGAATCGGAGGTGACCGTGCTTATGGCAGAGCAAAGATCCGAGGCCTCGTACAATTTGAATCTGCTGCTAACGCCATCAACGAAGCGGAAACATTTGTTGTTGCAGCATCAGCAACGCAGTTCCGTGGACACGGATGCCTTGGATTTTGAGGAACAGTTTACGGATCAAAGTCCCACCTATAGTCAAACGGGTTCAGTGAGTATGAAATCGTCTAGGTCTCCGGCAACACCACAAAATGAGAGGGACATCATTGCCAAACCCTATGACAGGGGTAATCAACCCAAACTGATATCCCCCTCCATTGAAATAACACCCATTTTGGGGCAGACTGGCCCTCCACCTGCCAAGCCTCCGGGCAAGGCGTTGCTGGCATCGCCCAGGAAAACTATTGCCATTTCACCGCCAAAGGAGCAAAGGAGGTAATGTCAATATCTCACAAATTTTCTGAGATTGATGATATATTCCCCTTTGTTTTAGGTTATCCGACATTTCCGTGGGCGTTTCTTCGCTGACCGACAACTTGAAGGGCTTTGACAACTCCGAATGCAGTACCAATACCAACACCGAGGACTATGCCACCTGTACCGACACCTCCCGACGCACGCCAGGTATGAGGACTACCTTAACCACAACCACTACTACGACAAGCTCATCATCAACAACACAAGTACCAGGTTTGAATCAACAAACTGTCGTTATGTAAATGTTTAGACTCTAGAAAGAGAGTGAGAGAATATAGCACGTCCTGTTTGTATGATGATTTCCGTTACGTTTAGTTTAGATACTTGTGTGTATGTGTGTTTCTTTGTGTTCCAATTTTTTGGGCCCTTCCCAGAATGGAAATGTCAATAATAGTTTTTTATTTATTCTTTTTATTTTTTTAAGAGTATGAGGACTCTATTTTATTTTTATTCGAAAGATTACCCTCCTAAGCCATTTTTAAAGTGGTGAATTATTTAACTCATATATATCGCTCCATTAGATCTTCGCTTCAAATTTATCTAAGTTCCATTTATAAAATCCATTTTAAAATACCCTGGATAAATATTTTAAATATATTTAATCCAATATTGTGGGGTAAACACGCCTAGAATTAGTTTAAAAAAAAAAGTATTCAAGAAATCTACACTAAATCCAAGATTTTACTGATAATAGTTCTTGAAAAAATATTCAAGGTCAAGATCAGTGGTCTAAAACCCATCAAAAAATTCTAAAAATCCATAAAATATATTTTGCAGGAGTAATATTAAAAATTCGTAATAGAATAGCATTCTTAACATACCTAATATTATAATCCTGTGAACTCAAAAACTATTTTGTCTCTTAACAAACAATATAGTCCTTAAAAAAATCTAAAAGCAAATCCCGAATAACAATTTGTATACAGTCTGTCAAAAATGTTTTTTCAAAAATCTGCGAAGGCCCTTTAAAATATATTCATGAAAAATCCATGGCACCTTTTATTTTTCAAAATTTAAGAAATACCTTTTTGTGGTCCTGCCATCAAAATTTTTAAAGTTCCAGGATTATACCTTGGAAAAAAACATCAATATCCTTTAAAAGTACCCAGGCTCTATTGATCCTTATTCAATTCTATTAAAAAAAGTAATATTCTCAAAAACTTCACGAAAAATTATTTAAAAAAATCCCAAATGGTCCATGAAAAAATGTTAATAACAAATTATTGAAATACCAAATACTCAGACCTTCTGCCACCAGAGGTAAAACCTTTTACGAACTCTAAATACAAAATTTGTAACCATTTCGTAGAAATAATTGGCTGGAATCATAAAAATACTGAATTTCGGAAGAAACCGTTAGATGAGGGCTAAACTTTCAAAAAAAAAAAAAAAAAATCAACTAAAAAATCCACTGTTCTTGGTCTTTTTTGAAAAAATACAATGAAAAAAACAAAACAAAATTGACCTTAAACAAGTTTAAAGACATTACGTTCGGCAGGGCCGAACTTTTAATACCCTCCAACTTTTTATATAAAATATCTGAAATCACTTTAAACTACAAATGCCAGTAAGGCCGTTTGGATAATGCTGTTAAACTTTTCAAAAAAGCGGTCTCACCCGTTGTATGGGGGCCATACCAACACGGGAACCTCTATAGACAATTTAATACTTCTAGGATTGTCATCTTCCAAATCTTCTTAAATACCAAATTTGAAACCATTGCGTGGGTAAATCCCTGAAAAAATGTGTGGCGAAAATAATCAAAACAAGTTAAAAAGCAGTAAGTTCGGCCGGGCCAAACTTTTCAAAAAAATAAAATCCCTTGAAAATTCTGTTAAAATCTTTAAAATACTTAATATTGGAAGGTGCCGATATATGGGGGGATATACGATATTATACTCACAAGGAACTCCTTGTGTGGATTTTCATATAATTCCATTGGGAAATGTGGCTAAAATCATCAAAATACCGAATGACGGAGGGTACCGTTATATGGGGGATATACGATATCGTGGACCGATATAGCCCACCTCCGAACTTGACCTGCCGGCAGACAAAATAGATTTCTGTGCAAAATTTTAGCTTCCTATCTTAATTCGTTTAGACTGTAACGTGATTACAACAGACGGACGGACAGAGCTAAGAAATTTAGAATTTTACGCTGATCAAAAATATATATACTTTGTTCGGTCTAAAATGAATATTTCGATGAGTTACAAACGGAATGACGAACTTAATATACCCTCCATACTATGTATGGTGGAGGGTATAAATAGGTATATGGCCGTTATATGGCGGCTATACCAAATGTGGACCGATTGACCTCATTTTCAATCCCAACCATCCCAGACACAATTCAAATTGTTCTGCCAAATTTTGAAAATATATATATTTAAGAAAATCCATGATCATGTCTTTAAAAATACTTTTTTTTTAAAAAATTGCCCCCAATTATTCCCCAGTTGATTCTGATGAAAAAAATCTTCAAGAATCCACGAGTGCTGGTCCTTTGAAAGGCACTTAAAACAACTATGATTGATCCTGCAATTTTTTTTTAAATATAAATTTAGTCCATGATTGGTCTAAAAAATCTTTAAAAACTTCAAATTTTGTGCTGGAAAAATATTAAAAAACAAGAAAGCAGGGCCGTTCATGTGATACCCTACAACACTACAATACGTTCGAAGCTTCCTTATCCATCCATTTTGATGTTGGCCCTAGGTTTTTGATCCTAGGGTATTTAAACAATTTCGCACGAAAGTTGTGTTCAATTTTACCTCTAAACATATTCCAATGGCCATCCAAAATTCAAAACTTTTTCCCTGTCCTTAACGCTCTCCTCAAGCAAAATTACGTGTCGATTGGTTTCAAATGTGACCTTTACAGCGACTGCAAAATCTAACTTTTTCAATTAATTTGAAATCCTAAATTACACCTAAAAAAGGCTTTAATTCTAACCCTAACCCTACCTCCATGCAAAATTTCGTGAAGATCGGGCGATAATTGCGACATATGTATAATACCCTTAAACGTAGTATTGCGGGGTGTAGATAAACTTCAGAAAATTTTCAACTCAAAATTGTAACTCAAATTGAAAAAATCGCATGTGATAAAAAATATGACAAAAATTAAAAAAAAAAAAATGTAACAAAAAATATTCACTTTTTTTATTGTCAAATTTTTCTGGTAACAGACAAATGCAAATTAATGAGAATTGTAAAAATCAGTTCAGCGGTTCTTGACTTATAAGCAGAATAATTCAGATCGATTTCTTTTACATATATATTGTACCTATTTTGCTATATATCCAATATATTGGCTAACAGCATCACTGTTATGGTCATAAGTGACCTTCTAATGTATTTGTGGTTTCGCCGGGATTAAAAATATTCGCGGTTTAGTGGAATTTTTCGTATTCGTTACATACGATGACCGCCCAAATTGGTAGGCTTCTGTTCCTGTAGAGCAAGAGGAAAATCAGGACATATTTCTGTTTTTGGTCAATTCCAACCCCAAAATATTTTGCGATCCTCTCAAAAAACAATAGGCTTCTATTCTAACTCTAACCCCACCTTAGTTTTAAATTTCGTGAAGATCGGACCATAATTGCGATCTGTAGCGTCATTAGTAAGTTAATAAGTAATTTAGTAAGTTAAAAGTCCACCATTTGTCCTTGACAAATTATTTTCAAAGTTCTCAAAAAAAAAAAATAAAATAAAATAAAAAAATCATTCCACAAAGTTATCAAGTCCTTCAACAATACTTCAATAAAATTCTCTGCTAGGACTTTAAAAATATTCTAAGAAAAGCTAAAAAGCCTAAAAAATAATTTGAAACAACCACGTTAAAAAATGCATGAATTAACCTCACTAAAAGCTCATTCCTTAAAAATGCTCCAAGATAAACTTATGGCAGACTTTAGTTTCTAAAAACTATTTTAGTTTCTAAAAAAACTAGTTTTAAAAATTCAATTACCATAGCTGCCACTGTCCTTGAAAAAAACGTTGGGAAAAAGAAATTATAGATTTTAAAAAGTCCACAATCGTCCTTCGTAGAAAATAGATTTATAAACATCCATACCTCCCGCAATCCATGAAAAATATTTTTAAAAATTCCTCGTTTTTAAAATACTTGCGATTATACCTCATATAGTCCTTAAAAAGGGTTCTATTTAATCTAAGATAATACTTCCATAAAAGCCCTTAAATATTATTTTTTAAAAACTTGCAATTGTGCCTCCCATAGCCCGTAAATATATTTTAAAAATATAAATGATTATTGCTCCCAAATTCCTTAAAAACATATTTAAAAAATCCAAAATTATAGTCCTTAAAAAATATTAAAAAAAACCTCGGATACACCTCCATAGTCATATCTTCTACAGTTCTTGAACGAATACTATCGAATATCCACTATTAAAGTTTCTGTAGTCCTCAAGAAATATTCTAGCAACCCAAGATTATATCTCCTATATTTCTTGAACAAATATTTTTACAAAAATCCAGGACTACCATGGGAGCTGGTCCACGAAAAAATATTTTTACATAATTCGCAATTATAGATCCTTTAGTCCTTTAAAAAAAAAAGTTAAAAATCCATGATTCCAGCTATAGTCCTTTAAAATATATTTTCTGTAGAGATATGTACGATTATAGCATCTCTGGACCTTGAAAAATCTGTTGAATAATATTTTGGTTTTTCTTTAGTCATTAAAAATATATTTGTAAATAATCCAAATTTATATGACAAATTTTGACCTTTGAAACCAATTCTTAGAAAAATCATGACTTTGGCTTCTATTGGCCTTCAAAAATTTCCATTAGAAATTTAAATTGAAATATCTGCTGGTCCTTAAAAAAAAAAACAACATCCTTAAATTGCAATGAAAATTAAAAAAAAACAGATAAGACCCTCCTGGTCTTGAAATATATTTAAAATATGCAAAATTATTGCAATATTATTAAAAACCCATTATTGAGATCCTGTTCATGTTTGAGAAAAACATTTTTAAAAAGTTCACATTAATCCTTGAAACATGTTAAAAAATCATGATTGTAACCAAAACAATTCCCTTACTCCTAAAAAAATTAATCCGATAGTTCTTAAACATAATTTTTAAAAATTCCTTATTAGGTCCTTAAAAACATTTTCATAAAAATCCAGGATTTCATTTCTTTTGGGACCTAATATGGGCTCTAAAATTACAAGTTGATTAGACTAATAGTCCATGAAAAAAATATTTTTCAAAGTTTGACTGTTTCATAGCAGATCTTAGGAGTCTCCAGATACCATCAAAAAACTCGTAAATCAAATCAAAAACAAATTTTACAACTTAGTATAGACCATAGTAGATGGTGTTCGATGTTGTTGTTTGATGCTTGATGTATGATGATGCTTTGCGTATGCAACTAACTACCTGCTTGGAATGTCCTGTGTTTTTTATTCCTTATCCTTTGATGTTGAAAACCAAACAAAAATTGGTTAACCGGATTAATTAAATATCTCCCCCCCTTACAGCTTCCACTCAATCTTCCCAAATGGATAAGACCCATGGTGAATCTTCATTTGAGAGTGCTTCTTCTCTGTACTCATCCAAAGGAGAAATGATCTCAGAAGATATTATCCAACCCGAAGAGGAGTATCGGCGAGAATCTAAAACCCATTTAGATTTGACATTGAATTTACCCTCTCCCATCCAGGCGGGAGAGATTGCCAAGAAATCACCTTCACATTCAGTGAGCAGTACCTCATCGGGTAGCTATAATGTGGGTGTTGTTGGCGATGGCGATGAAGGAGGTAAAACACCGGAAGGGGAAAAGCCGGTTGTGCCCATGAAAAAGGAAAGCACTTCACCACTGGGCCAAAGGGTGGCGGAGTTGGCACGCAAGAAAATCGAATCCATATCAGATGATGAACGCAGCGATGTACGTTACTCCTCCTCCGGATACTATGAAAGTCCCCAGGATGATGAGTATCAGAAGTTGAAGTCAAGACGTCATCGCCAGGAGGAGGAGCGTAAGCGGCGAAAGACCTCAATGAAAATCGATATTGAAAAGGAGAATATGAGAGCACTTACGAGTCCCATAAAGAGGGATGTTCACAAGAAATCTCCCGAAAGGATAAAGGCCTCGTCCGCCTTGGCCGAGTCTACGAGTCCTGTTAAACTAAAACGTTTCCGTCCGAAGATACGTCGTCAACTGCGACGGTCTTCACGTGATGAAAGTGCCACACGAGCCACACGCAAGACCAGCAATGCGGCGACTTTGTCACCCCAACAGATAATGGGCAGTGCTGAGAAGCTGCTAGATGCAAGCATTATGTCTCCCAAGCCCCCGGCCACACCCAGCCATATGGTTACCAGTATGGAACCAGATCTACCCATACCAGCCCCTCGCATAGGCAAGGAAGCTGCAGTGGCACCACTGTCGTCGGCCACTGCATTAACTTCCACAAAGGCTCCAACCTCGCTATCACCTGCATATGTAAAATCCGCCTCGGAAACATGTCAATTAAAAGCCAAATCCATTGAGTCCCTAAATCGTTCGGTTTCGCCCGGTTCCGATTCGGTATTTTACAGTGAAGCTGATGGCAATCATGCCGACCAGCACAGTGGCCATTGCTCGCACTGTGGCAAGGAGGTTGACGATCCCACTGTGGTCTGTGGCGATTCGGTGGAATCATTACCCTACATAGACAACGAACCGGATATTGTTAAGCCACCGTCCGATTTTGCCGATTCGCCAGTGACCAATAAGACACCGCAGCGTTTGTACAAGAAAATGGATAAACGTTTCAGGTCCGAGGAGCGATATCACCTCGAGAGGGGTCGTCACTATAAGACACGAAAGGAGAATATTCGAGCGAAGGTAAGGAGGAAGGTCACTCCCATCAAAAATTAGGAGGTATTTATTTATTTTCTCATTTTAGAGCGAAGAACGCAACCAGGAATGCAATAAAAAGACCACACCCATTCTACGCCCAGCCGGTTCCAGTCCCTGCATACTGCCAGAAATTACCAGCGAAACCAAACAGCAGACCATTTACATTGGCCACTATGATTGTGCCCGCTATGCTAGGCTGACCGATTCGGATATATGGGCCCAATTGGATCATCAGAGTCTGGGTAGGCCAACAAAATTGAAAAACTTACCCCAAAAATGTCTCAAAAATAAATTATGATTTCCTCCCCAACTAGAACGCAGTCGCGGTCGCCGCTCCTCAACCGATTCGGAGAAAAGCTTCTACACCAAATACCAGGTGATACTGCATCGCCTTGTACAGAGACGTTGCACTTTGGAGATGTATCATCGCCAAAAAAATGATACATTTGGTAAGTTTTTCTTTCTCTCTTTTTCTTCGCCGACTATTTTGGCCGGCCATGCGAGCCCATACCCCATAGTTCATTGATATTCATTGACACGCAGTTCAGCTATGCTTGGCATGTAGCGGATGTACCAACAGCTCGTCTCGTGCCGCTCTGTGTTATGATAAATGTGACGACGATGGCTGCCGTGGCTATGCTTCCACATCGAGTGTGAGTGTGCGTGTGTGTGTGTGCGTGGAAGGGCCAGCTAAGGGACCACATTTTGTTTAGATACCCGGTATTTTTGACGCGTGTTTCTAATTTTGGAACATTAGCTAGATTCGCATCGCACTGACCGTTCTGTAAACAAACATTTTGAACAGCACAAGTGAGTGGTGCACAATGGGTTAGGTTGAGAGAAATTCGATTGTGGGAGAAAGAGGGGAAAGTGAAACAAATATAAAAACGAGGCAGGGACGTTGAGAGAAGAGAATCATATATTCTTGAAATCATGGGAGCGACAGAAGGCATTCATTTCAGAGGAGGGCCACTTCACTATAGAAGACAGTTTGAAACTCTCCTATACAAAAATCGCCAGAAGATGATCCTGAAGATCTTTTGACTACAGAAACTCTTTGGAAGGTCAGAAAGTCATCTAGGAAACCATTAGAGGTCTGCAGGAGATCGTTAGAATGTATTCAACCTGTAAAAGATAGTTAGAGGGTCTTCTGTCTATAACAGGCAGTCAGGGGGTCTTCTGTCTATAAAAGGCCGGTAGAGGATGTCCTATCTACAGGAGACCGTCAGAGGGTCATCTGTCAATTGAAGACATTCAGAGGGTCATATGTCAATATAAGACTCTCAGAGGGACATCAGGGGATCTTTTCGTCCGTGGAATACCTTCAGAGGGTATTCTGTTAATAGAATAAAGTCAGGACGTCTTCAACAAATAGAAGGCCGCCAGAGGGTCTTTTATCTATAGAAGGCCGTCAGCGAGTGTTCTCTCTAAAGAAAACCGTCAGAAGGTCTTCTCTCTTTAAAAGACCGTTATAGAGTCTTCTGACTATGGAAGACCGTCAGAGGGTCTTCTGTCTGCAAAAGATCGTCAGGGGGTTTTCTATTGACAAAAGCCCGTCAAATGGTCTTCTATAGACAGAAACCCCTCAAAACCCTTCAGAAGTCCTTCGGAAAGTCTCTTATAGGGATAAGCGCTTCATAAAGTCTTCTATAGGAAGTAGCCTTTCAGAAGTTCTTCTAAAGACAGAAGTCCTTCGGAAGGTCTCTCATAGACAGAAGGCCTTCAGTCTATATACAGAAGTCCTTTAGAAGGTCGACTACGGACAAAAGTCCTTCAGAAGATCTTCAATAGAGAGAAGAGTCTCTTATAGGGAGAAGTCCTTTAGAAAGTCTTCCACATACAGAAACCATTGAGCAGGTCGTTTATGGCGATGAGTCCTTCAGAAGGACTTTCAGAATATCCTCTATGGACAAAAGCCCTTTAGAAGGTCTTCTGTGGCCAAAAGCACTCCAAAAGGCAAAGACCCTTTAGAAAGTCTACTATAGGCAGAAATGCTTCAAAATGTCGTATATGAGACTTTCTGGAGGGCTTTAGAAAGACTTTCACATACAGAAACCATTCAGCAGGTCGTTTATGACCATGAGTCCTTCAGAAGGACTTTCAAAATATCTTCTATGGACAAAAGCCCTATAGAATGTCTTTTGTAGCCAGAAGCACTCCAGAAGGCAGAATCCCTTTAGAAAGTCTGCTATAGGCAAATATTCTTCAGAATGTCGTCTATGGTCATAAGTCCTACAGAAGGACTTTCAAAGATAGAAGCCCTTTAGAAAAATTTAAATGGAGAGAAGCCCTTCTAAAGGTGTTTTGTGAATAGAGGACCTTCAGAAGGTATTTTATACCCAGGAGCGCTTCCGAAGGTATTCAACAGACAGGAGCCCTTTCAGAAGGGTTCTATTGTCCGAAGAACTTCAGAAGGTCTTCAGATGGTTTCCTATAGACAACATCCCTGGATAAGGTCTATCTACAGAAGTCCTTTAGAAGGTCGACTACGGATGAAAGTCCTTCAGAAGATATCCAATAGAGAGAAGCCCTCCAGAAGGTCTCTTATAGGGAGAAGTCCTTTAGAAAGTCTTCCACATACAGAAACCATTCAGCAGGTCGTTTATAACCATGAGTCCTTCAGAAGGACTTTCAAAAAATCTTCTATGGACAAAAGCCCTTTAGAAGGTCTTTTGCAGCCAGAAGCACTCCAGAAGGCAGAATACCTTTAGAAAGTCTGCTATAGGCAAATATTCTTCAAAATGTCGTTTATGGCCATAAGTCCTACAGAAGGACTTTCATAGACAGAAGCCCTACAGAAGAATTTATATATGGAGAAGGCCTTCTAAAGGTCTTTTGTGAATAGAGGAAGAAGGTATTTTATACCCAGGAGCGCTTCAGAAGGTATTCAATAGAGGGGAGCCCTTTCAGAAGGATCCTAAGGTCCAAAGCACTTCAGAAGGTCTTCTATAGGCAGAAGCTCTTTAGGAGGTCTTCTGTGGAGAGAAGCCTTTCAGAAGGCCTTCTATGGACAGAGGACCTTCAGAAGGTCTTTTATAGACGGAAGTCCTTCAGAAGGTCTTCTATAAACAGAATCTATCCTCTTCTCTAGGCAGAAGGTCTTCTATGGAATAAAAACTCCTTCAAAAGATCTCCTATATATAGAAGCCCTTCGGCAGGTATCTTACAGAGAGAAGCCCTTCGGATGGTCTTGTATGGCCCGAAGCACTTCAGAAGGTTTTATAGGGTCTTTTATAGAAAATTGTCTTTTATAGAAAAAAAACCCTTCAGAACGTCTTCTATGGCCCGAAGCACTTCTTCTATGGCATACGAAGTAGGTTTCCTATGATCTGAAGGTCTTCTCTGCCAAGAAGCCCCTCAGCAGGGCTTTCAATGGCTAGAAGTTTTTAGAAGGTCTTCTGTAGTAAAAGCCCTTCAGAAGGTCTTTAATGTTCAGAAACCGTCAGTCCACAAATTTTGGATTTTAATTATATTTCACAAGGAACACCAGACCAATAATCGTGGATCATTTAACTATAAAACATTCGGTCTTTTATTTTTTTTTATTTATTTCCGCCACTGTGCCATGTGACAACAAAGTACCATTGACCGCCAAAAAGACTAGAGGAGAGTACTCGCTTGTGGTCTCGTTCGCCGTGTGTCTCTCTGCCCGTTGTTGTACAACACAAAACTTTGGCAGTAATAGTCCATTATTTATTTATTTCATTCGATGGCTAATGGGGGGATATCGGATGGGCGGGGGGCAGGGTGGTGTTGTTGGCTTCTATTTTTTTCGGCACCGCTTTTTTATTTGCCGATAAGTGCGTTCGTTATAAAAAAAATAAAACGCTGAGAACTTTATGGTACTCTGGCAAAGCGAATTAGATTTTGTTTGCAAAACTGTTTTGAGTTCATTCGGAATTTAGTCATCACCAAACTTACACATGGGATACAACGCCGGGCAGGAGACACTTTTCTGCCAGTATTTGATTTCTGCACAGCTATTTGAGAAGACGTGAAGTTATTTTTGATAAAAAAAACAAGCACCTGCTGTCGATTGCTAATCTAATTGGATTGAGAATTATATTGAATTAGAAGAAAATAGAAGCACATAATTGAAACAGATTTAGAAACCCCGAAACACAAAAAAGTGAAACATTGACCAGAAACTGAAAGTGAACTTTGCGTGACTTTGCCGCTTGTGGCATAAATAAAGAAGCGGCATTCGAATTTGTGATTGGGAACAGCAACAAATATAGCAACATGTTGGGTGCGTAATCGAAAGAAAAAGTACCCCTCCCTCTCTCGTTTTTGGCTGGGATTTTGCGGGTGTGCGTTCTATTTCTGAATGAAATCCCCCTAAAAAATCGACACACACTCGCACTTATATTCCAAAGTTTGGGGAGGGCGAAAAATAACAAAACAACAATAAAATATTAACAAAATCTTGACCTACGTTCTTCTAGAATTGATAACATCGAATTCGGCACAAGACTCTCTGAGGCGGCGTCTGGAGGAAATTTTAAAATTAATGCTGTTGGTATGGGCTCGTGAAGGTCATGTCTTGTCGAAATTAACAAACGGCGAATATGGTAGCTAAATAAAAACAATTTCCTTGTATTTTTTTTTCTTAATAATCCAATAATTAATAAAACAGTGGAACAGAGGCAAGAGGAACAGGTTATTAAAATTCTCAAATTCGAAGAAAAAATTCAAAATATTAAAAAAAAAAATAAAATAAAATTTTTTGAAAAAAATAAAATTTTGGAATTTGGAAAATTTAATGTTTATTTTATTTTTCTTCAAATTTGAGATTTTATATTTTTGTTTGTTCCTTATAGCCTGGTTCACCTGTATCTATTTTTTTAACAAAATAATTTCACTCCCTATTCTCCCAACCCTTCCAGGTGTCGATAAAACCGTTGTGGTCAAATCGGATTCGGGAGAATTTGGTTTCCGCATTCACGGCTCCAAACCTGTTGTCGTGGCCGCCATTGAACCTGACACCCCAGCAGAAAGTTCCGGCCTCGAGGTGGGCGACATAATCATATCAGTAAATGGTGTTAAAGTTTTGGATAAACATCACACAGAAGTGGTGAAAATTGCCCATGATGGTTGTGAAAAACTTGAACTGGAAGTGGCCCGCACTCTGGGCGTCCTAATGAACGAACAACAGGAACCGCCCATTCAGGTCATCTACAGTGGTTATCTGTGGCGTCAAAGTGGCCAGGCCAAGGGTTCGCCCAACGCCAAAAAATGGGTCCAGCGTTGGTTTGTACTGCGTTCGGATAACTGTTTATACTACTACAAGACTGAAGAGGTGAGTTGGATAGGAATTTTGAAAATCCACATATAAGTATATATAAATATAAAGTCCTCTATAGACAGAAGTCCTTCAGAAGGCCTTCTATAGGCTGAAGCCCTTTAGAAGGTCTTCTGTAGACAGAAACCTTTTAAAAGGTCTTCTGCGACCAGAAGTCCTTTAAAAGGCTTTCTGTGACCAGAATCCCTTAAAAGGCCTTCTGTGACCAGAAGCCCATTAAAAGGTCATCTGTGACCAACAGCCCTTTAAAAGGTCTTCTATGGACATAGATCCTTCAGAAGGTCTTCCATGGAAAGAAGCCCTTCAGAAGGTCTTCTATGGATAGAGACCCTTCTGAGAATCTTCAATGAACAGAAGCATTACAGAAGATCTTCTATGGACAGAAGACGGAGAGAAGCCTTTCAGAGGGTCTTCTATGAGCAGAAGCCCTTCAGAAGGTATTTTATGAATAGAGACACCTTCAGAGAATCTTCTATGGGCAGAAACCCTTCAGAGAATTTATTACCGACAGAAGCCCTTCAGAAGGTCTCGTTTTGAACAGATCCCTTCTGAAGGGCTTTTGTGCACAAGAAGGCCTATAGAAGATCGCCTTCTGGACAAAATTCCTTCAGAAAATTGTTTTCTGGGCAGAAGCCCTTCAGGAGCTCTTCTATACACAACAGTCCTGCAGAAGGTCTGGTCTAGACAAAAGTCCTTCAGGAGGTCTTCTATGACCAGGAGCTCTTCAGAAAGTCTTCTATGGCCAAAAACCCTTCAAAACTTCTTTTATGGGTGGAATCTCTTCAGAAGGTCTTCTATGGACGGAAGTTCTTCAGAAGGTCTTCTAGAGGGTCTTTCATAGGCATGAAGCCCTTCAAAGAGTCTTCTAAGGCCATGAAGCTCTTCAGAAGGTCTTCTATAACCAAAAACCGAAGCTCTTTTATAGATCGAAGTTCTTCAGAAAGTTTACTATGGCCAGAAGCCATTTAGAAGGTCTACTATGGCAAAAAGTTTTTCCTTGGACAGAAGCTCTTCTGAAGGTTTTTCTATAGACAGAAGCTCCTCAGAAATTCTTTTATAGAAAAACCACTTCAAAATGTCTTCTATGACCAGAAGCTATCAGGTCACCAATCGTATTTTTTATGGAAAATTTTTTCAACGACCATCAGACCAATAAACGAGGACTTTGGAAGAATATTTTTCCAAGGACCATTTTAACAACAAACTTAGATTTTCTGAAGAATATTTCTCTCTCAGACTAGTAAGAGGTTTTAATTTTTGTAAAGGCTATCAGGCCAAAAGTGAATCTTTCTTTATAAAATTGTGAGTTTTTTCATTATATCTCTCCAAGCCCTAAAAGATCACTATATAGCACTATTTTCCAAAAAGGTTATACATAGGTATGAGTATTTGTAAGTTTTTTTTTTTCAAAAATCATAAGACTTCTAATCTTGGATTTCTAGGAGCATTTTTTGCAAGGACCATAAGACCAAAGGTCGTAAATTTTTCAAGCAAGACCACTTTCACAATCTTGTCTTTTTTAAGAAAAAATTATCAATTTTTATTATGTCTATTCATGATATAACATTTCCCTTTCTCTTCCTCCAGGACACACAGCCAGTTGGAGCAATGATCATGGCCAAGCACACAGTCGAGCCATGCCCCGCCAAAGTCGGTAGACCCAATGCATTTAAAATAGATTCGGGTGAGGGTATACCCATGTATGTGGCCGGGGATAATGAAGAGATTACAAATCGTTGGGTAAATATTTTGAAGAAGGCAGTGGCCCAGGAGAATTCATGGTTGGATAAGAGGTAATGTTTCCTACTATACTTTACATATTCTATGAAATAATTTTGAATTTAAAATTTTTATTTACCAGTGCCCGCAATTTGTACAAACAACCCAGCAATATACAACGTCCCGACTGTTTTGGCTATTTGATGAAATTGGGCTCGAAATGGTGCGGCTGGTCGAAACGTTACTGCGTCCTGAAAGATGCCTGTTTGTATTTCTTTCAGGACGGCATATCGAAATCAGCTTTGGGTTTGTAATTTTTAAAAATTTTTGAAGCAACATTGTTTAATTTTTAAGTGTCTTACCTGCAGGTATGGTCTGCCTTCATGGCTACAAGGTCTCATCAATGTCAGCTGCTGCATCGGGCAAAAAATATTCCTTTGAAATTATACCACCTGAACCGAAATTGAGACATTACTATTTTTATACCGAATCTGAAATGGAGAAAAAGAGGTGAGAAAAAAATAATTATGATTTGATTTATAAATAAGTTTTCTAAATATTATGATATCCGGACTTTTATAAAATTTATTTTAGATATTTTTTGTAGATTTTTGAACAGTCGTCTACAAACCGGAAAAATATGTTACTTTTAAAATTAGGATGCTATATTTGTACAATTTTTTTAGGTAGGATCTCTCTTAAATCGTTAACTGATTTTACGACTTAGTTTTTTTATACCCTCCACCATACTATGGAGGGTATATTACCTCGAAAAACTCATATCAGACCCAACAAAGTATATATATTCTTGATCAGCGTAAAATTCTAAGTCGATTTAGCGATGTCCGTCTGTCTGTCTGTCCGTCTGTCTGTCTGTCCGTCTGTCTGTTGTAATCACGCTATCTTTCGAATGAATTGAGATAGATGGCTAAAATTTTGCACACATGTTTATTTTTCCAGTAGGCAGGTTAAGTTTGTAAATGGGCCATGTAGGTCCACGTTTTCATATAGCCCCCATATAACGGTACCTCCCTATATTCGGTATTTTCATGATTTTAGCGACATTATTCGCGGGAATTGTTTCAAATTTGGCATTTGAAGTTCAAAATGGATACTACACCCTAAGACGGACAATTGTCTGTGCAGGTCCACGTCTTCGTATAGGCCCCATATACCAGTACCTCCCTATATTCGGTATTTTGACGAGTTTAGGTACAATACTCACCGAAGTTGTTTGAAATGTCGTATTTGAAGTTCGTGATGGATACTACAGAATATGACAAAAAATTGTCTTCGCAAGTTCAGGCCTTCGCACAGCTCCGATATAACGGTACCTCCCTATGTTCTATACTTTGATGATTACATTACATTACATTATTCGCGTTTATTTCAAGTTCCGAATTTGAATTTGGTAATGACTCATGACAAATAATGCCTGTGTGGGTCAAGTTCGGGCCAGCCGAACTTACTGCTTTTTAACTTGTTTATCCATCGGAGTGTCATTCTGTGACGCATCGACGTAGTCAGAGGGCCATTCCGGACTCTTTGCGAAATGGACAATGTGTAGACCTTTTCTGAATACTTAGTTTGAAAAAGTATTATTTTGATTGTTGCTATCACTCAGTTTTTCGGAAGAGACGAGATGGAGGGCTGAAGTTTTCCTTACGAGTGTTTTTGGTCTGAATGTAAATCACATTTGAACCACCTTTTCTTTAAGCCCCATAATGCGAAGCCTTCAAATTTTGCCTATTTTGACGATAATAGCCACAGCTATTTAAATTTCTTAATGGGTGCCAATATCCCCGGTTGAAAATTAGGTCCACAGGTCTACGATTTTGTATTGACTCAATGTTAAGGTACTTCCTGATATTCCCGATATTCGTTACCAATATCCCCTGTTGTAAATTATCTCCACATGTCTACATTTTCCTATAGACTCCGTGTTAAGGTAATTCCTTATATTCGGTATATGCGTTATTTTAATAACATCTTCAATGGATTTGATTGAAATTTTGTATTTAAAGGTTGTAATAGCCACATGTTAGGAAATTATGTGGGTAGGTCCCTGTTTTCGTATAACATTTAAGTTCTGATAATGTCTTTATTTTCTTAGTTATACCATTAGTGAGTGACAACATAGGGAATATATTCTCCGGCTGATGAAGAATTTGCCTTTTTGAAACTAACGTTGAATGATCAAATTTAAATATGGGCAATATTGGTATTTTCCTTTCGGTCAATTAAATGAATTTTATCTGAACATATTGAGTTTTTTGAGAGGAGGCAACAGGATTAAAGTTCCAGTCAAATCAGGTGCTTCCTTCAGATACTTTTTAAAATATCTATTCTTTGTTTTGGAAAATTTTGGCCTAAATTTAAAATTTGAGCAGTATTGACCTTCTTCGAACTTAATCTCTATATTCCAAGTTTGTTCCAAATACTTTTTTCGAGAGTGAGATCCATACGCCCAAACAGGCGATCTGAAGACATGACCAAATGAAAATCAAATTTAACGGTCTCTTTGGATGAAATTCGTTTCAGACCTCTTGAAGTCGATCTGGCGATGTTCTTCCGTCTCCTGTCTATGTGCACAAAAGCTCTGTGAGGAAGTATCTGATTTCCTATTTGATCGAGAGGGGCAGTAGCGTTTTACTCCCTCAATAAGAAAATAACCAAACATAAGGGGAATCCGATTTAATCCCAATTATGCACATCATTATATTAAAGTCAGCCTTAGGTCAGATGACAAAATCGGTTTGATTCTTTTTGTACTTCCTGCACAGGGCGACAAGGTAAGGTTCGAAAATTGATAATTTACTTCGGCACCTTCGTCATAATGCAAGTTAGGATATATTAAAACTAGCAAATGCCCGCTACTTTGTCAACGAAAAGTTCACCTTAAAATTTAAAATTCGTTCCAACAGTTATTTTTAGACCTTTTAGGTTTTACATATTGTTCAAATTTAAGTACCATTTAGTACTTCCCATTTAGTATGCATACCCAAATCCACCTCCTCTTAAAAAAATATTCCAACAATAGCCTACATATATATTCCGAAAACATCTCATTTTCTAAAAAAGAGATACCAAGAGTTATATCCATATTCACCTTGATTCCTTCAACCGATACTAAATTTGGGAATATTTAGTACTTTTCGCATTTTCAAAATCACCACCAAATCTCCAATACATACAGGGTGAGATACAAAAAACTGCAACAAAGTCAAACGCCATAATTTTTACATTTTTTTTCAAATTTTATTGAAAGAAAGCAAAAAAATGTCGGAAATGGCATCAAATTTTAGAATACGTTTAGATTTGTTCGAATTGGTCACCTTTGGCCCGAATTATGGGCTTCAAACGGCCAATGAAGCCATCACACGCTTCCCGAATGTTGCTCTGCGGTATTTTTGCCCATTCCCGGCGAAGCGCTTTTCTTGAGGGGATCAACACTTTGGCATTTTTTAGTGCCAACCTTGCTTTCTGAAATACTCCAAATACAATAGACCAACGGATTGGTATCCGGAGGTTTTGGAGGCCATAGTGCGCTGGAAATGAAGCGAGGAACCTCATTTTGTAACCATTCTTGAGTGGCGCGTGCTGTTGGAATGTCCAAGGTCTGCGGCTTAAATGTTTGCGTTCCCAAGGCTTTAATACACCCTCCAGAATATTTTCGCCATAATATTCGGCATATATTCTGATGCCACGGTCGATTAATACGGGCGGAGAGCGACCATCGGCTGTTATGGCGGCCCACACCATCACCATGGCCGGCGCTTGAGTTCTGGTGGCCAACCGAAGGTACACATTTTCAGCTGACCTCTTTGGCAAGTAAACACGATCATTTTGTTTGTTTACCATCTGCTGGACAACGAATGTTTTCTCATCGGAGAAAACCAAATTCGGCAGCTCACCACTTTCGGCCAAGCGAAGCAACTCTTTAGCTTTTTTGAGTCTATTTTCTTTCTGTTGCGGTATAAGTTCTTGCACTTTTTGGAATTTTAATGGCTTTACCCCGAGCCCCATTCATTTCTCAATATTTGCCGAATGGAATGCGAGCTCACGAGCCTTATTTCGGTCACTGCGACGCCGGTTTCGATCAAGTCGTATGCTTGTAACCAATATAATGAGCTGTCACTGGAATAATTTTAACAGCAGTCGGACGAGTGGCTTAGAAATGACAGCAGTCTGAAGTTGGTTGCGGTTTTTTCATCTCTATACCTAAGGTGCACGGATTCCCAATAATCTTATTTCGGAAATTTCCAAAAAAGAGGAAAAAGGGAACTTGCCCTTTTTATTTAGGTTATTTTCAGAAGCAAACTGTTTAAACGCCGATACATTTGTCTCCCTTTTTATACCCTCCACCTTGAAAAGGAGGGTATATTAACTTTGTCATTCCGTTTGTAACATCCCTAAATATTCGTCGGGGTCATTATGTATATATATTCATAATCAGCATAAAATTCTAAGTCGATTTAACGATGTCCGTCTGTCCGTCTCACTGTCCGTCTGTCTGTCTGTTGAAATCACGATACAGGCCACATTATTTGACGTATAGCGTCAAAATTTAGCATAATAATTTGTATTGTGTCTAGGATGGTTGGTATTGAAAATGACATATATAGGTCCACGTTTTGGAATAGTCCGCATACAACGGTACCTCCCGATATTCGGTATTTTGATGATTTTTGCCGCATTTTTTCATGGATTTGTCTAAAAATTGGTATGTGTTGATCATAGTGGGTTCTAGCTCCGGTGGCGAAACATTGCATGTATAGGTCCACGTTTTAGTATAGTCAACATATAACGGTACCTCCCGATATTCGATATGATGATTTTTGGCAATTTTTTTTGCGGATTTGTCTGAAAATTGGTATTTATAGGTCATAGTGGGTCCTAGTTCGTGTGGCGAAACATTCTATGTACAGGTCCAACTTTGGTATAGCCCCCATATAACGGTATCTCCCGATATTCGGTATTTTGATAGTTTTTGTCACATTTTTTCACGGATTTGTCTTAAAATTGGAATTAGTTAGTCATAAAAGGTTCTAGTTCCGTTGGCGAAATATATATAGGTTTTTGTATAGCCCTATATAGCGGTACCTCCGGATATTCGGTATTTTGATGATTTTTGCCACATTTCCCCACGAATATGTCTAAAAATTGGTATTTGTGGGTCATAATTGGTTCTAATATTTCCATTACCCTAAGGTAGAGGGTATTAAAAGTTCGGCCCGCAGAACTTAATGTTTTTTTACTTGTTCAACTCTACTTACATAATCTGCTGGAATTTCCTCGTAATTATTAATGTTATCGTTTATCTTTAACGTTGCATGTTTTATGTTTTCCTTTGTAAAATATTCGCATTTATAAATATGTATTTTTTAATTTTTTACAGATGGATATCAGCTCTCGAGTATTCCATAGATCGTTGGATCAAATCTGGGTAACTAAGGTTGAAAACCATTAACAATAAATCATCCATGCACAGCACAAAGCGGAAACGACGTAGTTTTAGTTATTTCATGGAGTAATAAGTCACAACGTGTGTGTGTGTGTGTGTTATTTTTTTCGTAATTCAATTCGATTCACAACAACATCGTAACGCATCAGATCAGATCAGGTCACAACACATCATCACAAATAACAAATTGGATGTAAATAGACGATAATAGCAATGTAATGGAGTCACTGGTCCCCCAAGTCCTCGTCTACCCCAGGTCATGTTAAAGAAACACTTCAACACACAGAGCACTTAGGGAAATTTCAAACTAAATGCAGCACCAAAAAGCATCCAAATGTTGTCTCGCAAATTTTGTAAAAATTTCAGATGGTCATCATAGGGAGTTTAAATGTTCACATCACCAAAAAAATGCACCAAACTACATATGATTTAAAAACGCCAGGAAAGAGAGTGGGGAATATGAAAACAAAAATCGGAAAGAAAAGGTAGAGAACTCCTCATGTTGTGAAGATTATGGCATAAATATACGTTAATACCTAAAATGCCAGCTTTCGCGATTGACGAAAAATTTAAGAATTTTTCAGAAAAAAGTTCTGGTCCATCCAAAATGGAAGTCTTCTACTCTGTCCTAAGCTAAAGCCCCATGCAAAATTATTCGTCGAGGGGTCTATAATTGTCACATGCATATCTACTGCTCTCATCTAGATATTTTGGAAACATCAACATAAATAATAGTCTTCCATTCTGTCAGTAATCCTACGTCCGTGCAACATTTTGTAAAGATCGGACACCAATTGCAATCTATAGAATAGATTACAAATTAACATGGATAATATAACTCCTGCCGATAAGAAGCCCTTCGTATGTCTTCTATTGAAGATTTTTTTCTACCTTTTTTTTCATTCGGATATTTTGTATATACGAGTATAGGCGAACTTTTCTAAATCTTCTCCGACCTTACTCTATAAATGATCTCATAATGACCTTCTATATACAGAATACCTTATGAAAGACTCTCCCATTGAATACCCTTTAAAGGCCTTCTCTCTAGGAAGTCTTTTATTTTCGTAAGGATTTTCTCCCCAGAAGATATCCTATACACCAACGAACTCATAGCAGCCTTCTATTAAGAGAACACTCTTATTTATATTATGTCTGAAAAAATACCTTTCGAAAGTCTTCCCTTAAAGACATCTTAATATAGAAGACATCAGTCGACTAAATGCCTTTAAGCCTTGAATAGTTTGCCTTAATAAGACTCGCTTAAGATCTTCCGTCTATGGATGACCTTTTGAAGGTCTTCTTCTAATAAAACTTATGCTCAATTTTCCCTCCATAGGAAATCTGAGGAATTTCTTTCTCTTCAGAACTCGTTAAAAAATCTAATCACCTAGAAGACCTTTGCAAAATATAATATAATCATCGGTGTATATTGTCAAAATATCTTTTGAAAGTGTTTTCCTACAGAACACCTTCTCAAGATGGGAACCTTTCAAAGCTTTTCCATCCATCGAAGTACCTTTTTAATTTCTTATATTTTTCGTGTCTTTTTTTTCTATAAAGTACCTTTTGCAGCTATTTTTCTATTGAAGACCTTCATCTGTCTATCGAAATCCTTTAGAAGAATTCTGAAGGATCCACCTCTATTGACGACCTTTAGAGGAATTCAACCTGAAAGTGTTCTCTATAAAAGACCTTTAGAAAATTGTCTAGGGAAGACCAGAGATTTTTTCCCCTTTTTTACCCTCCACCATTCGTTTCTTTTCCATAGAAGACCTTGAGTTATTTTCTTTTCCATCTCCCTGAGGTCTTCTACTCTCCTTGGAAGACCTTGAGGTCTGTTATTTTCCATAGAAAACCTTGAGGTATTCTAATCAACATAGCAGACTTTGAGGTCCTTTAGGTGGGACCTAGTACTTTAAACGTATTTTAATGTAAAAAACCCTTAGAAGGACTTGTCGGTATAGAGACCTCTTTTATTTATTAACGATTTTTTACAGGTCTACTCTCACTTGAAGACTTCTTTTAGGCCTTTTTATATTGAATATACAAATGTGCCCAGAGAGAACGAAGTCTAAAGGAGGATACTGACTATACTGACGACCTTTAGAGGAATTCAATCTGAAAGTGTTCTCTATAAAAGACCCTTAGGAAATTGTCTAGGGAAAACCAGAGATGTGTTATCACTTTTTTACCCTCCACTATTCTTTTCTTTTCCATAGAAGACCTTGAGTTCTTCTCTTTTTCATAGAAGACCCTGAGGTCTTCTACTCTCCTTGGAAGACCTTGAGGTCTGTTATTTTCCATAGAAAACCTTGAGGTATTCTAATCAACATAGAAGACCTTGAGGTCCTTTTAGGTGAGACCTAGTACTTTAAACGTATTTTAATGTATAAAAACCCTTTGAAGGACTTGTCGGTATAGAGCCCTCTTTTATTTATTGACGATTTTATACAGGTCTACTCTCAGTTGAAGTCTTCTTTAAGGCCTTTTCTATATTGAATATACAAATGTGTCCTTTAGAAGGTCGTCTACAGAGAGAAAAAAGTCTGAAGGATCCACCTATATTGACGACCTTTAGAGGAATTCAATCTGAAAATGTTCTCTATGAAAGACCCTTAGGAAATTGTCTAGGGAAAACCAGAGATGCTTTTCCCTCTTTTACCCTCCACCATTCTTTTCTTTTCCATAGAAGACGTTGAGTTCTTCTCTTTCCCAAAGAAGACCCTGAGGTCTTCTACTCTCCTTGGAAGACCTTAAGGTCTGTTATTTTCTATAGAAGACCTTGAGGTCCTTTAGGTGAGACCTAGTACTTTAAACGTATTTCTTTTAGGCCTTTTCTATATTGAATATACAAATGTGTCCTTTTGAAGGTCTTCTAAAGAGAGAAATAAGTCTAAAGGATCCACCTCTATTGACGACCTTTAGAGAATGTGTTCTCTATAAAGACCTTTAGGAAATTGTCTAGGGAAAACCAGAGACTTTTTACCCTCCACCATTCTTTTCTTTTCCATAGAAGACGTTGAGTTCTTCTCTTTTTTCCATAGAAGATACTGAGGACTTTTACTCTCCTTAGAAGACCTTGAGGTCTGTTGTTTTCCATAGAAGACCTTGAGGTCTTCCACTCTCCTTGGAAGACCTTGAGGTCCTTTAGGTGAGACCTAGTACTCTATAGAGGATTGAAGATCGCATTGTCTTTTCTGAAAAATATATGACAATTTGATCTTCTATCGAGACTAGAAAACAACAACATCGTCTTCTTTGAAGAATAAAAGACCACATAGTCCTCCAACGATAAAAGAAACCTACTTTGTCATGTATGGAGACTAAAAGTTTACATGGTATATAGAGACTGGAAGGTCACATGATATTCTCAAGTTCTTCTTTAGCGAAAAGGTCCCCCATGTAAAAATTTAAAATGATATAATCCAAGGCCAAGGTATTTATGATATCGTTGCCACATTTCCAACCAAATAAGCTGCTTTTTCAGTATTTTCTACAGGTATTTCGCACAAGCAATGGTTCGGATCCCGCAGGATCCCGTTTTGAGATTATACTGCATACATAAGACATTTTAGAGCATTTTTAAAGTAATAAGGAGTCTTTGAAGGCATAATGCTTAAGGAAACCTTTTGAAGATATTTCACAAATAGAAGTTATTTTTAAAGGTCCTCCACCCCAAAAAATAAATTGAACAAATTTAAAAAAAAAACTGTTTATAATGTTGCTTAAATCATCAAAATACCGAATATAGGGAGGTACCATGGGGGTTATAAAACGTGGACCAGCACAGACAATTTGAAACAATTCCGGTAAATTAATGTCACTAAAATCATCAAAATACAGCATATTGGTAGGTACCGTTATATGGGGGCTATACGAAGACATGGACCTACATGGCCCATTTTCTGTCTTAAGCCGTAGTATCTATTACGAACTTCAAACACCAAATTTGAAACAATTCCGGTAAATAATTTCGCTGAAATCATCAAAATACCGCATATTGGGAGGTACCGTTATATGGGGGCTATACGAAGACATGGACCTACATGGTCCATTTTCAATACCAAAAGTCCTGCAGACATAATACACATTTGAGTAAAAATTTATCAACCTACTTCACCTAGAGTGATTTCCACAGACGGACAGACGGACGGACATTGCTAAATCGACATAAAATTTTATGCTGATGAAGAATATATATATATACTTTGTGGGGTCTAAAATGTATATTTCGAGGTGTTACAAACGGAATGACAAACTTATTATACCCTCCATACTATGGTGGAGGGTATAAAAAGAGGGTAAAAATTGGTCTCCTCTCTAATCAGAGGTTAAGGTCATTGTTTTACCCAGCAGAGTTTTAACGAATTGAGCATTTGTCCGGCAAATTCTTCTTCCCTTTACAAATCACACATGAGCAGTAGTCTCTACCCAAAACGATATTTGAATTGATAAGTTCGACATCATCCCATCGTCACACAAAACCAAAGAAAAATCCATCACATTCTTAGAAATAGAATAAAAAAAGAACAAAAGCAACACAACCACAAAAAAACTATAGCAATTAATGGATTAAAAAATTTTAAAAATTAGACGGCTGTTTTCCAAATGCAAAACAACAAAAACCAATAATGGCAACTGTAGAAAAATTAATTACAACAATACTTATGATGACATTTCAAAGAACAACAAAAACCCCCAAGTGAAAGTTGATAGTAGACAAAACCAAAAAAAAAATAAATAAAAACAAAAACTAGGAAAATGTTATTATTTACAAAGAAACAAATGCAAAAAACCAACAACAACAAACAACTATATACAAAATAAAATAATAACAAAATGTGTTATTTTTCGTTGAAATAGAAAAAGAGACACCTCTGACCGATGCGCCAACAGCGGTGATGTTGCAACAAATGGCACAACACAACTACAACATTTACTTTAGTTTAGACGTCTTAATAAAAAAATGGAAAAACCAAAAATTAATTCAAGGATCGAGGAATTAGTTATAGTTTTAAAATTTATCAAAAGAACAAAGCCAAAAAAAAAAAAAAAAACACAAAAACAACACAAACAAATGATATA